CTAACCTCTGAGTTCAAAGTCAACGCAATCCAGTGGCTACAAGAGGCGGTGGGTTTACTTAACTTGAATGATGTCATTTCAAAACCAATGTTGCTTTTGCTTCAAAGTAAATTCTTCCAAAAAAGATGAATCAGCGTTGTCAATGTGAGCATAAATGTTAAAGAAAAATGAGTTTTAGGGGTACTCAATTCAGTTTGGGAAAACTTTTCAATATGTTTGGAACAACTTGAGTACGTAAATATACTTTTTTAAAACTGTTCCATGAAATTTAAATACAGATCAAGCATCGCCAATGAAAATTTGGCATCTGATTTGAGATGAATTGTAAGTCTAAAATTCACGCCAGATTTTGAAGACTTAGTATGAAAGGAAGAACATAAAATATTTCAGTGACAACTGTTATGTTGATTACATATTGAAATAACATTTTGGACGTTTCGGATTACATAGGCCACTAAAATTAATTCTACCTGTTTCTTTTTACGTTTTAACGTGGCACCTGATACATTCCTACTGGGCTGGGTCCACCTGGACCGTCGGTCCCTGCTTCATGCCAGGCGTGTGGGCCAGAGCGGTCGGCCCTCCTGTCCTCTCCCTGGACACATTTTATTCTTCGGCTTGTGCCTCTAACCCTTTCATTTCTCAAGGCTTGGAGGCGGAGCTACAGGCTTCATCGGATTCAGGTCCGGATGTGGGGGGACAGTGCCCCATGCTGTTTACTTGACATCACACTGTCCAGGAGATGCCACCGAGTCACAGCTGATCCCTCCTTGTAAATTTTCGAGTTGTCCCTGGGAGGGCCTCTGCAGCCGTGAGCCCCCAGCCCGCTCATGCGCGCGATGGTTTGAGCGCCCACCCCTGGGTGACTGCTGTCTGCATCAGTCCCTTCATGGGGCTGGCAAACTGCCTTCCTTCTTATTTATTCACTGGACTTATTCTGAAAAGAACTTTCCTTCATCGTTAGGCTACCTGAGATAGTTCATACGGCTGAGTGCCCTTCCTCTGTATTTACCAAGAGCTAGTGCACCAATTATGACAGAGTCTCAGGGGGCATTGTTTTATTTGCTTTTCTATGCATTTTGTTTGTTTGTTTGTTTTAATTTTAGAGAGAGAGGAAGGGAGAAGGAGAGAGAGAGAGAAACATCGGTGAGAGAGAACATTGATTGGCTGCCTCCTGCACACCCTCACTGGGGATCGGGCCCACAACCTGGGCATGTGCACTGACCGGGAATTGAACCAGCGACCTCTTGGTGCAGGGTCGACGCTCAACCCTGAGCCACACTGGCTGGGCTCTATGCATCTTTTTGAGGTTGTTTTTTTATTACTGTTAAGTTTTTTAAAGTAAGTTTATTGAGATTTAATTCACGTAGCATCCAGTTCACCCCTTTCAGGTGGATAATTAGGTGGTTTTTAGCATATTCACAGTTGTGTAACCAGCACCACAAACCACCCTAAGCTGTTATCATCAGCCCGGGAGGAAATCGCCTGCCCGCTACCAGCGCTGTTTCCCCACCCCTCCCAGCCTCAGGCGGCCACCCCTCTATTTACTGTCCGTGGACTGTGTTCTGCACATTTCAGCTAAGTGGGGTCATATGACACGTGGTCCTTTGTGTCTGGCTTCTTTCGCTTACATTTTGCCTGGAAATGTAACTCAACATTGAACATCATATTTAAACCTACTTCACAGGTCATTTTTCTGTTATTATAGGAACTTCTGCTCTTAGAAAACTTCGTCTGAACAGCCAAACACCTCTCAGGTAATTTCGCTCTGCGTCTGAGATGGTCACTAAGGCCTGTGAGACTTCACAAGAGAACCCTCCACAAACCGTACAAGGTGTGTGTCCTTGGAGGAGCGGGACGGCGAAGCCTTCCTCTGCGCTGGGGCTGCTGTTGCTGAAATGTGCCCTAAGGCCCCTAAGAAAGCCACGTTCTCTCTTACAGGGGACATGACGCACCTGTTACATTACCTTTTACAGTTGCAATTTGCTAGATTAAAAAACTGAGGCCTGGGGAATTTCAGTAACTTGCCAAGTGTGGTCAGCCCTAAAACGGCAGGGTTCACTCACCTGGAAGTCCCGGACCTTCAGCACCCCCAAATGCTCCTTCCCTTAGGGCTCCTGGTTCAGGAAGTTTGGGAAATGCTACGTGGAACAATGTTCTTTTATAATATCACAGTTCACATGGGTTCAGTAAAGGCTCTCAGAAGAGCTACTGAAAAAAATTAACCTTGTCTGATTCCAATAAGTGCCCTAAATATATCTGACCAAGAAAAAATCTCCCCGCATTTTCTCTAAACTCTTGAGAACACAAGGTGGGCGGAAGCTGCCTGTACGTCTCAAGTTGTTAAGCCTGTTCCCCGAGCACAGCAGCAGCACCTGTGGGTGAATGGCTCCCTCTCGCCGTCAGCAGGTAGGGTTAGTGTCCCCTGGTCACTGTGGCCTGGACACTCCTTTCAGTAGGGACTGCAAACCGGTCTTCACATTTACAAACGCCTCGACCGTCCACTCGGGAGCTGCCTCTATTCACCATAACGACCTGTAGGACAGGCAGGTGCTACTTCCTCACGGCCAGACCAGAAGGGAAATGAAGGGAATAGGATTGGTAACTTGTGGAGTTTTGTGTTTCAGCTCAAAATTAGAGCTAACCAGAACTACGTTTCCTTTTTCCTTTACTTTTTCCCGGTCTGGAATAGCTGGTGAGAAAATGGAGCAGGTTGATTACTGTACGGAACTTTTCTTCCTTCACATGAGACTCTTCACGGGACACCCAGGCGGGGGACCCCAGCACTTGTCCAACTGTCATGTACACACGGTGTACGGAAACTGCTGGCCCGCACGGGTGCTCTGTGACCTCCAGGGGACTCCAGCAGTCTGTCCGAGCTCACAGATGCTGTTTCCCACAGACAACAGAGAGGCTCTGAGAGCCCCGTTGTCATTTCTGAACTTCGAAGGGCAGTGAGATTTTGGGTCACTCCCAGGCCTTTGCAGTCACTTCTGCAACCCTGGGATTCAAAGTAGCCAGTGATGTTTGCATTTTTAACTCCCCCACACTGTCCATGTAGGGAGCATGCAGGGTTGGGCCTTCCGAAAGTTGTAAGACATAATGTAGCTGACTCCTTATCTACGCTATGTTCTCTTATACATTAGACTGTATCACCTGCTCCATATTTCAAGTGGCAAAGCTGCACCTTCACATGCAAGAGTCCTCCCCTTTGTGGCAACATGAAAGTGGGGGGCCACGGATGTCAGAACAAGAGGACTGGACTCAGACCCCATTAGCTACTTGGTAGAACATTATTCCCGTTATGTATTTCTTTCCTGAAATTCTGCCGCTCAGCATGGGAAACAAAGGTTCAATGCACCCAAATGTGGAAGCGGACGGGGAACAACGAATGTGCTTGTGAACAGCTTTCAGGGCCCCACTCCGGCCTCCCGAGACTGCGGTTGGGGGTGGCAGCTACGATTCTACAGATGAGTCTTCTGACAGCTCAAATTTCAGAACCACTGTTCATGAACAAAAGAAAAATATAGGGGTAAGACTGAACACAGTGAGATCCAGAAGCCCGCTCTCACACTGGGGGTTGGGGTGAGGGCACAGGCAAGGAGGGACATGCCTCCCTTCTCCACCAATCTTGCAGGAGCAGTTTGGTTTTTATTCAAGAAGCCAGTCAGTTGGGTTGATATGAGGAGAAATGATATACAAGCTGCCTAGTGGTCAATAAATGGTAGCTATTAATATCATTAGTAATCACCCTGGCCGGTTTGCTCAGCGGTTAGAGTGTCGGCCTGCGGTCCAGAAAGACCCGGGTTCCGTTCCCGCTAAGGGCGCGTACTTCAGTTGCAGTTTGTCCCCGGCCCTGGTCGGTTGTGTGGGTGGTAGCCACTCTATGTGTCCCTTTCATGTTGATGTTTCTCTCTCCCTCCCACTCTATCTGAACAAAAAATGGAAAAATGTCCTCAGGTGAGGATAAAAAGAATATACATATATATATTATTAATAATCAAAACCCCTTTGCTTCTGTTTAGGTCATGCATTCCTACCTCCCCCACGACGCCCCAGAGGGATATAACAACCTTCCTGGCATTATTGCCAGATTGCAATATTGTGCACTGACATACATACACCCACAGAAGGTCAAGGCCAGGTATGACCCATAGCGATCCTGGCAGAAAATAAATTTGATTCAATCAACAGCTTGCTATTTCCATGCTTAGAAGAATTTCTTCTTTCATGTCATTTATGTTGAATAGAGAGCACATGTTCAAGCTGCAAACTTCAAAAGGAACAAGAGTGTGCGGTGAAACGTTTCCCAGGCTAACATGGCTCCGCTGTCTCTGCAAACATCAGGTTTCCGTGTCCTTGTCCCTGCACACACAGTTCTTTACACACAATTGTGCACCTCGCTGTCTCCTCCTTGTGAACACTGAAGGTCGTTGCACATCAGCACACGGAGGTCCCATTCCTTCCCCCTGCTGTCGTCTCCCGTCCAGCCGCACCGTGTACTTAACGCTCCGCGGGCGCACGTGGCTTCGACCCTTCCTGCGCGTGTCCGGGATGGTCTCCCGACGGGGACCGCTGGGTCCCGGGCGTGCCCACTGTTCTCCCGTGTCCCCCTCTAAGATGTGCGCGCCAGGGGCGGAGTCCCTGCCCTACACCTTCCCGGACATCATCCGGATCATCTACGTTTGGGGCCAGTTGGAAGAATTAAAAACAAACCAAACCCGAGCAACATAAACCCCACTGCGGCCCCCCTGAGACCGGTGCAGCCGCGCACGCGGGGGGGCCCCCGCTCCGTCCAGAGTCCCCGGCCCCTGTCCAGAGCCCCCGGCGGCGGCCGCGCGGGGCCCAGGGGCGCACGGCCGACCCGAGACGCGCGCAGGGCCTGGCGGGCCGCCGCCTAGCAACCGCCAGCCAATCGCCGCCGGCGCCGGCCATTTTACGGCAGAGGCCCCGCCCCGCCCCGCGAGCTGTCGTGACGCGGGCGGGCGGCGCGGGTGCAGGGCTGCGAGGAGCGGCGGCGAGGGCACCGAGGGCACCGAGGACGGCTGGGGTCCGGCTCGGCCATGGCGGGCGCGCTGGTGCGGAAGGCGGCGGACTATGTCCGGAGCAAGGATTTCCGGGACTACCTGATGAGGTGACGGGCGCCCCGGGCCGGGACCGCCGGCAGCTCGGGAGGCCGGGCCGACGCCGCCCGGGGTGAAGGGCACGGGGCGGGGGCGCTGGGGCAGGGGGACGGGGCTCAGGCCGCGGGACGGGGGCTCCGGGTCGGGGGACGGGGGCTCCGGGCAGGGGGACGGGGCTCAGGCCGCGGGACGGTGGGCTCCGGGCCGGGGGACGGGGGGCTCAGGCCGCGGGACGGGGGGCTCCGGGCAGGGGGACGGGGGGCTCCGGGCAGGGGGACGGGGGGCTCCGGGCACGGGTCGGGAGGCTCCGGGCACGGGACGGGGGGCTCCGGGCAGGGGGACGGGGGGCTCCGGGCACGGGGACGGGGGGCTCCGGGCAGGGGGACGGGGGGCTCCGGGCACGGGGACGGGGGGCTCCGGGCTGGGGTACGGGGACTCCGGGCACGGGGCGGGGGCTCCGGGGCAGGCGGACGGGGGGCTCCCGGCACGGAGCGGGGGGACGGGGGGCCCCGGGCCTCGGGACGGGGTGCTTCGAGTCGGGGGACGGGGGCTCGGGGCAGTGGGACTGGGGATCGGGCAGCCGCGAGGGGCGGGAGCTCCGGCTCTCCGCACCTGCGGGCTAGGTGTGCGCCCAGGTGTGCGCCCGGGTGTGCGCAAGCGCCGCGCGCTCCTGACAGCGGGGAGCTGCAGGACTTCCCCTTTCCCTGTTCTCCTTTTACCCACATAAAGCCTCGCGTGGGAGGGAATCAAATCTAACTGTTTGCAGCGCGAACACTGCCGACCCTGTGAAGGAGCGTGTTGCCAGAGACCCCTCTCTCCCGTCCGCCGTCCACCTGCCTTTCCGGTAGCGGCCAAGCGCATTCACGGCCGCAGGGCGAAGACGGCTTCCCGAGTGTTGCCTCACCCCGACCTTCAGGGGCCTGCTGTTACTCAAAATGTCGAACATGTCATTGGAACAAAAATATTGAACATGTCATTGGAGCAGTGTTAGACCCTTTAACGGGGAGTATAATTCGTAGTCCGTTTCCTGTGTGTGATTTTACAGCCCGGGTAGGTGTCGGGCTGCGTGTTTTTTCCGGTCAAGTCAGTCCTGGTGTAACCGTCCGACGGGGACAGGAAGGAGGCAACTTACTTTTACCAATAGAACGAGGGTCACTGTAATTTTCAATCCTGAATTTTATTGCGAATACCGTTTGCTCCTAGCTTTACGGAGCAGTAGGGTAGGAAACATGTCAGTCTGCCGTGGGGTAGAGTGAATTTGGAAAGTGAAGCTGCGCTCCTGACGTGGCAGAAAGAAGACGTTTGTGCACTTACACGGGCCTGTGGGTAAAGCGTGTTCAGTGCTGTGGAGCCCATTGGATGCGCGTGTTGGAAAGTCTGAGCCGAGTAGTAACCTAAGGAGGTGCCTGTCCCTGCGTGAAGTTTCCCCCGGCTTGAATGTCACTGTGGTATTGTTACCGCGTTCTCCTTGTGTACTGGAGTCTTCCTCGCAGTTAGATACAGCTGAGGACAACATTGTTCGGTAGAATTGAATATAAAGCTTTTGCACCATATCGGTGTATGGCTGGTGGTGCTCAGTGGTTAGAGTGAAGGTTAGGGTTACAGGTTCGATTCCTGGTCAAGGGCATGTACCTGGGTTGCAGGTTCTGTGCAGGGCCCAGTTGATGTTCTCTCTCCCTCTCTCTCTCTCTCTCTCCCTTTCCCTCCCTCCCTCCCCCTACTTCCCTTCCACTCTACCTAAAAATTAATGGAAAAATATCCTTGGGTAAGGATTGACAACAACAAAATAATTATTGAAAAGTATGCTAATGATTACCCAGCATTCCTACTACAGAGGAAGAATCTGTTAAATATTTATTAAAGGGGGAGTGTTCCCCCTGCTTTTCTAAATTCATATTTTTTGCGACTGGGTGGGTTTCTGAGAGCCAGGCTTTTCAATAGAATACTTTGATACGTAGTCTAACCTGCTTCCCAAGATTAACTTCACGGAGCTTTAATGTTATGTACTTTCCCTCCGTGTCACTTTAATTGGTTTGTGTGAAGGGCCCCTGTTCTTCCTGCTGTTCTTGGCAACACGCGATGTCACGCGATGGCTGCCAGTCATTGGCTGAGGGTGGTCTGAGGTCTGGTGTCAGCTCTCACCAGGACCTGTGGTTGAGCTTTTCCCCAGAAAGAGAACCCTTTCTTCCTAGAACTGACCGGAGGAAGGCTTTCTGTCCGTCCCGTCAAGCTTGCAGGAGAACAGAGCGAAGGTCAGCGCGGCCCCTCCCTCCGGTGAGACTGGACACCTGCCTCCCCGCAGCCCCCCGCGTGCTGTGCACCCTTCTCGGGCCCTGGAGGGGCAGAGGCTCTCCGAGCCAAAGCTTCTCCAGAACTTAAACTTGTCTTAACAGCAACGTGGCTGAGCTTTCCAGCAGAAGTTTGAAGTCATGTTTAACACAGAATAGAAACCCTTCGATCTCTTTTCTGAATCAGATGGAAATCTCTTTCTTACTAAAGTGGGTTTCCAAGTGTATTTTAAAATGCAGGGGTTTTTGTTTGTTTTTTTTTTGTTCACCTGGAAACTAGTTAAGAGAACAGGCTCTGACCAAAGGCAATGTGTGACTTCGATTGGCTCGTGTATGGAAAACATAAACAAACAGCTGGAAAAGGCATTACCGTGACAACTGGGGACATAGGCATAGGGGGTCAGTGTGAAATAATGTTAAGTAATGAGCAGTTTTTGTTAGATGTGATGCATTTGAGGGTCCCCGCCCTGTTACCGTCCAACTGTGTAGTTCTGTGCTGCCGTGTGCTTGACGGGACATTTCCGCTTCTCCTCTGTGGCTGCTAACACTGGGGTAACCCGCTGGGTTCCTGGCGCTGTTTATGGTGCCCCCCCCCCCCCCCGCCTCTCTCACCAGCTTCTTCTTCCTCACCTTATTGAGGAGCTTGAATCAAGAACTTCCTAGTTCTCGCATATAAATATATATATTTTTATCCTCACCTGAGGATGTTTTTGCATTTATCTTCAGATAGAGCAGGAGGGAAAGAAGGAGGAGGAGAGAGAGAGAAACATCGATGTGAGAGAGACACATCTAGTGGCTGCCACCCACATGACCCCAACATGGCCGAGGACAAACTGCAACCGAGGTACATGCCCTTATGGGAACCGAACCCGGGACTCTCCAGTCCATGGGCCGACACTCTAACCGCTGAGCCGAACCGGGCAGGGCCCACATACATATTTGTAAGGAAACTGTCCTCGCACGTCTTCGTGGTGGAGTAAAGGACCTAGCTCCTCCTCTCCTCTCCTTCTCCCCCCTGGAGGCTGGTTAAGGAGAAGGGGGTGAGTGGACCCTGTGAGGCAGGACCTGTGTTCTCGCGGTGGAGTCGGCTGGGCAGGCTGCCTCTAGAGACGGACGGCCTTCGTGGGAGAGGAGCGGACATGTGTGCACGTAGGAATGTGGATGCATCTGCAAAGCTTCCCTCAGTGGGGCCTGGACCGCGGAGCAGGTGAAGTCGCCGGTACCCAGCAGGCTTATGAATGGAAAGTTAGGGCAGTGTTGCAACATGCTGCCTTGGGAAGGGACTTTACGTTAATTTTAACTTTTCAGCTTTCAGGGGAGCGTTACGGACTTAGTAACCAGGTGAGACACTGCAGTGGAATAACAGGGAATCTTTCCCCAATTTGGCACTAGAGTTGGAACAGACCTTAGAAATCAGATACTTCAACACTTGCCACGTGAGGAAACTGGTATCTTCTTCACCACGCAGAAAACTCGAGACCTCTAGACGCCACACTGAAGCCGGAACAGGAATGCTGATTTGGGGTGTCGAGGGGGAGAGTGACGCTCCAGGCAGCTTTGAGAAGAGGCAGGGTTAGGTCCCTGCCCGGGCCTCTCTCCTCCGCCGCTGCCCCCACGCCCTGCCTCTGGGCCGCTTCCCCGCACTGGAACTGACCTTCAGAAAGGGGCTGTATGTGTGGAAGCAGAGCTGGCCGTGGTCACTTCCCCGTTGGCCAGCCGGATTCAGTCGATCACACGTTCTAATCGTTTGAACTCTCCCTCATCCTAACTTCGACTAGGAATCGGGTGAAAGTTGGTGAACATCTTCAGCCTACAGAGCTGCAGCTAGAACGTCTCAAAGCCGTGCCACCCGAGGGCGCGGTGATAGACGGCTGGGCGGCCAGGGGCGCCTTCAGGCACTGGGTAGGGATGTTAGAGCTGGCCCGGTACTCAGTGCTGTCGGAGAAGCTGACCACCTGGCAGTGGTTTCAGGAAGATGACCTGAGATCGGCAATGCCCTGGAGACTTGTGAAAATAAAAATAAGCTTGGAAGAAGCCATCCAATCACGACTCCAAATTAAGGAGAAAAACAAGATGCAGCTTATTCCATGGCAGTCCTCCTTCCGCACCCCCATCAGTCATTCTCAGCCGGGAAGAGAGGTCTCCTTGACAGTGCAAGGTCGTGAGTGAATGCAAGAAAACCTTTCCTTGTATGTTGGGGGATTTTGTTTTGTTTTTAACCTTCACTGAAATAAAATGAAAGCAGCATGCCAAATAGAAAGTCTAGGACGTTTTTTACAGTTTTACATTACTGTGCCCAAATTGCAGTTTGTTTTGCTTAGGAATTTATCTTTCTTTGGGACAGATACTCATCCGTACCAAGAAGTAAGTGGAAGGCACCCCTTTCGGCTCTGTGGACAGCTTCTCGTCTGGCTCTGCACAAATACGACTTTAGATTTTGTGACTGAGTAGCTGGTTCATGTTTTGGGCATCTCTGATGCGGAGTTAAGGGCCTTTGAGGTGAAGATTTTGTATTTACGAGGGATGCTTAGAAAATGGCGTCATTGTCAGATTGTTTACAGTCAGTAAGTCACTATTGATGTGAAGTGATCAGCGTTATTTTTATGGTAATTTCCGCGCAGAGCTGTTGGACTAAGCAGCTGTGAGGGCAGAAACCTCCTCTCCACACCCTTTGTATGTGCACTGAACACCTGTCGCAAATAGGGAGGCAGTCCTGAATGAAAAGTAAATCCTCCAGGTGACATTTTAGATGTTAAGTACTGCACCCCTTTTTTTCTTTAAATCGAGGATTTTTTTTTGATTGAATGTTTTTTTAGAGAGAGTGGAAGAACTGGGAATGGGGGGAGAAAGAGAAACAAACATTGATGTGAGAGAGACACATCGATTGGTGGCTTCCTACATTCGCTCACAACGGGCTGGGGCTGGGGATTGAACCTGCAACCGGGGTATGTGCCCTTGACTAGGACTCGAACCCGAGACCTTTTGGTGCTCGGGCGAATGCTCTAACCACTGAGCATAACCGGCCAGGGCATGTACTGCATCTTCGAAAATATTGTAGGGAAAAAAACATGCAGTTACAAATACATAGCTCGGTGAAAGGCCTGTGCTCAGACCTTGAACCGGAATGTTGCAAGGACAGTACTAGAGGGGCCGAGCTCCTGCACTTTGCCCTCTGACCTGAGAGGGTCATTGACCCTCTGCCTTCCAGAGAGCACTGTGCTCGGTTTGGACTTGCTGTGAAACAGTCTTGGGCATAATGTATGAGGATTTTTGCTTTTGATATTTCATAAGAGAACCAATTTGAACTTTGTTTAGCTCTGTCAGCAAATACTTTCATGCTGTAAACCACACACCCCAGTCTCTGAAGCGTCACCTCTAGAAGCCTTGTTCGGACGTGTGTCCACAGAAGATTTTATCATTGTATTTCAATGACTCTTAGTAGATACACTTTAAGATTTTGCCTTAACAGAACAGTTAAGCTTTATCCTGGTAACAAGAATGGCCATTTGAGAAATAAAAGTAATTCACTATCAGACTTTCGATATATTTTAAATGGTATGAAGTTTGACGTTCAGGAAAACAGTTCAGTTGATGTTGAAAGTTCTTACTGTTCATTCATTTAGCAGATGTCTGCCGGTGCCTTGTAAGTGGAAGGCACACCCCAGGCTGCGGAGCTTCCGTAGTAAACAATACAAATCACGTCTGTTTCTAGGGCTTCCTTCTGGTGGTCGCCTGTTAGTCAAGGAAACTGGAAAGCTTATTGCTAACAGAATTCCGCAGCGTTGTGCTTCTCTCCAACTTGTTGCTTTCAAAGAAACATCCCTCTCGGGGGCTGTGTGGAGTGAGAGCCCCGAGCCTCGGTGGCCACTGCGCATGGCGGGTGTCAACACACCCGCTCACAGACGTCTCGTCCACGCGCGTCCACTGATCACGTGTTCAGATGAAAATACTTTTCACATGTTGGAATAAGGAAACTTGATAAAATTAGCTCATGTGTTTCCTTCTAGAAATCCTAAAATCTCACAGCTGGACCTGTTTGTGATTGCGCTCTGTTCCCCGTGGCGCACTCCAAGGGTCACGCTCTGTAAGACTTAGGCCTCGTGTCACTGGTCCCAGGTGTTAGAAACGTCGCTAGGCCGTCTCAGGGAGGAAGAGAGTTCGCCCGGGAGTCCTGGCGCTGCGACTCCCACGCATGAGGGCGGAGTAACCGCGCAGGACGCGGACCTTTGCAGACAGCTCATCTTCTCTCCTTTCCTTTCCATGTGCCCGCCTGGACCGCGCGCCGCTCGCACACCAGCACGGTAAGAAAACGCTTCTGCCTCACTTCGGCCTTGCAGCTCCCGCATCAGCAAACGTAGACGGAGCCCGGGCCTTCGCTGAGACAGCCTGACGGCCGTGACCCTGAGTCAGGGCCCAGTGCGCCCCGGGGCCGCGAGGCTGCCGGTCCCGCTAGTCCACGTCCGCGGGACCCACGCAGCTCAGGCTCCACGAGGACAGTCGGGACCAGGCCTGGCCGCGGCCGGCGAGACCGACGCAGCCCACTGGGTAGATCTGGGCGCTGCTCATGTGTCGGGCTGCTCTCGTCCAGGCTACGGTTATCGTGGCGTAAAAGTATTTTCCCATTTAATCCGAAATATGTTAATTTTTGACCTTCAAATATTACTCATGAAATTCCTTATTTTTCTAGACATTGACTAGTGAGTATCTGATGGAGCATAGACCGTGCACTTCAAAAAGGGAAGCGAGGACAAGAACCGTGTACTAGATAGAAAGCATGTATCCAACTTCCTAAGGTAGATATCCTAGTAAACTAGTGTTGAGATTATTTTACCTTTTATGTACTTTTAGGAAAATATTTAAATATATAGGTCATTGCTCACAGTCACCATGCACAATCCTGCCCCGTGCGGCCCGGTGTGCCCGTCAGCCCTGCCCCGTGCGGCCCGGTGTGCCCATCAGCCCTGCCCCATGCGGCCCGGTGTGCCCATCAGCCCTGCCCCGTGCGGCCCGGTGTGCCCATCAGCCCTGCCCGTGCGGCCCGGTGTGCCCGTCAGCCCTGCCCCGTGCGGCCCGGTGTGCCCATCAGCCCTGCCCCGTGCGGCCCGATGTGCCCGTCAGCCCTGCCCCGTGCGGCCCGGTGTGCCCGTCAGCCCTGCCCCGTGCGGCCCGGTGTGCCCGTCAGCCCTGCCCCGTGCGGCCCGGTGTGCCCATCAGCCCTGCCCCGTGCGGCCCGATGTGCCCGTCAGCCCTGCCCCGTGCGGCCCGGTGTGCCCGTCAGCCCTGCCCCGTGCGGCCCGGTGTGCCCGTCAGCCCTGCCCGTACGGCCCAGTGTGCATAGTCACTGTGCACGTCAGACGTGCCTTGCAGAACCCTGTTCATACAACCCTAATGCTCGTCACACTAAAACTTGTAATACCGCCATTTGACAAACCCCCCAGGGCACCTCAAGTTTCAGGTGGTGCGTGGTCCCTACTACTTGGTCCCTTGTATGAGAGAGACGCCTCTGTGCCCTCTGGAGTGACCCCCTGATGACAGCCCCAGATCTGTGCACACAAAGTAGACGCCAAGCCCTCCGTGCAGTCAGAGCAGGGGGGATCACAGGGAACAGTGCAGGCAGACCCTAGGGGAGGAAGGACGGTCGGAACGGGGAAAGGACCGGCACTCCGGAAATCGAAGAGTGAAAACGGAGTGACCCCAGAGCAGGACGGGGCGGAAGGAGGGACGTGCATGGGGGGAGGCACTCTCTTCACAGAGGCTGTGCCTGGGGGGAGGTGCCCCCCTCCTCCGGATACAGGAGCCCAGCAGGACTTACTCTGTCACACAGCCTGAAGACGGGGCTGGTGAGCCCCCCAGAACTCAGGTTCTTTCTGCCCCTGCCTGACCCGTAGGTTGGTGCTTGATGTTAAACCTGACGTGTGTACCTCGCTGGCCGCAAGGGGCGGGTGTGCAGCCACCGAGGGCCTGGGCCTCATGCTCACCGTGACGCGTGCTGTCAGCATTTCAAGATACTCTTGTATCATGCCAGATGTTCTCATACAGTTTTTTTACATTTCCCTTGGTTTCCCACTTATGGAATTTTTGGATTTTCATTACTGGTCAGTATTAAAAAATGCAAGACCTAGAACAGTATTCTGCAGTCTGGACAGTTCTCAAAGGCTGACAGGCAGAAGGTGAACACTGTTTAATGTTCTGATACCTAACAAGGGTGTTCAGCCAGCAATGTGTGGTTTCTTCCACATTTTAATGTATTTGCAAATTGTACATTAATAAAACAATTTTTAATTTAATGGGAAAAGCCACCGGACTTATTTCAGCCTCAGAAATTAAATTAAGTTGAACAGTGCTGCTGTTAACCGTGGACAACTTAATATTGGTCCCTGGGGTGGCAGAGCCGTGGTCCAGTGAAAACTGTTGGTCCATTTAAAATCTAAGTTGTTGCTGTTACTTTAAAAGTGTTTTGCAATCTTGATTTCTTAATATCTGGGCTTCTGAGTGTAGATTTCCAAGTTCTCTGATCTTAAAATAGCTCATATGAGCTGAAACAATTTTTCCCTTGTTAAATAAAGCCAATTTAGGCTTTCTTCGGAAAAAGTATCCAATTTAGGTTCTGCATTTTAAGAGATGTCAAATACCTTAATGAAAATTTGAAAAAAAAGTTTTGATCTAAACATTAAATTATGGGGAATACTTATCACAAGTCTTAAGTTACAGCAAGAGTGAGCTGTGTAAGAAGTTAGTCTCGTTTTAAAGTTCTCTAAGTAGGACGATCAGAGGCTACTTAGTGGTGACCTGGAAGTCGCTCGGGACCTTGGTCAAGGCTTCCGGGCTGTGGGCTCAGCTTGTGAGGACCACTGGCCACAGGCAAACACTGGGACAGCGGACCGTGAGCTGGCAGGTCGTCGTCACCAGGGAGGCTTGTTCCCCGGCACCTGCGGAGTGAGAGAGATGGCCCTGGCCACAGCTCCGCCTCACCTTCTCCTCTCTCCTGCCCGTCCGTTACAGCACTTCTGGGGCCCCGTAGCCAACTGGGGTCTTCCCATTGCCGCCATCAATGACATGAAGAAGTCTCCCGAGATTATCAGTGGGCGGATGACGTTCGGTAAGTGTGTAGCTTTGACTGCCCGGAGGGCTTCTGTCTGATCGTTAAACGGCTCCTTCACACCTCTGCCTCTCGGGGTGGTGGGTCCAGGCAGGACAGTCCCTGTTAGGAAATGACAACCTGAGGTGTTGAAGGTGTCACGTCACCGTGAGGGAAAACAGGTGACGGAACTACTTGCCAGAGGAACTGAGACCCTGTCCGACTGTCAGGGCTTCAGCACCCAGATGGAGCATGTGTCCTCTGGAGCTGTATTTGGAAAACGTACCCTTCCCTTGACTTGAAACCCTGGTATTTGCCCATAAAACCCGATGGGATGACATACAGTTTCTTCAGGTGATGGACTTCAGGTCATGTCCGCCCACTGCCTCCGACACCCCATGGTCCAAGCGTTCGGGTGATAAACAGCAGCACCTAACCGTAGAGTCCGTAGTAGCTGATGTGCGTTGCAGCCATAATTTACCTTGTTTCAGCAGAAGAGGTTCTTGGGCTTGTTAAGGCAGGCGAGCTGCCGGGGTAGGTGGTCCCTGGCACCCCGCCTTCTGAACGCCGGCGCCCCCTGGTGTCTCCGCAGCCCTCTGCTGTTACTCCCTGACCTTCATGAGATTCGCCTACAAGGTGCAGCCCCGCAACTGGCTCCTGTTCGCCTGCCACGCGACCAACGAGGTGGCCCAGCTGGTGCAGGGAGGACGCCTCATCCAGCACAAGTGAGCACGGCGCCTCTTCCTGCCCGAGGGTGGGGCACGGGCCAGTCCTGGGGGCGTCTCGGGCTGAGTGCACAGGGGGTTCTGAGCCGAAATCCGCTTGACTGGGCACGTGACCATGCAGACCCCCTGTCACAGCAGGAATTAGTGTTTTTGTAGCACTGGACACTGAATCCGTGTTATGTAAAGCGGCGTCTTCAAGCCAGCGGGGCCTTGGAGCTGGCAGTGACCCTGTTTCTCCTTAACCTTCCCTGTGTTTATTTCCAGGATGAAAAAGAAGGCTTCAGCATAACAAGGGAAAGGGAGGAGCTGGTGCTTGGAGGGCATTGCTGGCTGCTGAGTCACAGACCCGTCATTGTCATCGAATGGAATGGCCCTGTTTAGGAAGATGCTGCGAAGGCTGTGTTTATACCCGGCGATTTCTCGCAGGAACAGCCAGGCGGACGCCGCCTCGCAAGAACTGAACACTTCGTTTCTCCTAGGGCAGTCCCCGCACGCCACCATGTGGTCACCCTGGGTGGTCCTGTCTGCAGGAACGGGAAGGTTCTCTGCAGCGTCTACTTCTCGGAAAACGGAGGAGAGCAAATGTGTAACGTTTAGAACCCGAGTACTCAGAATGCTTGACATCTTGTTGAATGAGAAACCGACGCCGGCACATCCGTAAAATCCCATCCCCAGGGTCTGAGAAGTAGCTGTGTCCACGCAATGTGTCTCTAGATGCTGCACCTTAATGGCAATAAATGATCTGAATATTTGCCAAATGACAGCGACGAAATAGCTTGCCGTGTTTTTAAGAAACTGTAGGACTCTAGCCCTGCAAGACAGGTGTCAAAGGGGACTCCCTGAAAGTGACCGAGACGGGAGAATGGCAGGCTGGGAGGGCAGTTCCGGGAGTACTCCAGGTCCCCGTACTCAGAATGCCCTCGTCCCTGCCACCGTGCGGCCTTCGGCTTCTGCGGCTTCACTCTGTCGCGGTTGTTTCCTGTGCTTACTATACTCTGCTTACTATGCTATGCTTACTATACAATCCTAATTAATACTCATACTGACACTATACAATACTAATACTGTACTGTACTATACTCTGCTTACTATGCTATACTTACTATGCTATACTATACTTATATAATACTAATACTAATACTGACACTATACTATACTTACTACACTGTACTTACTATACAATCCTAATACTCATACTGACACTATACAATACTAATACTGTACTATACTATACCCTGCTTACTATACTATACTCTGCTTACTATGCTATACTTACTATGCTATACTATACTTATATAATACTAATACTGACACTATACTATACTTACTACACTGTACTTACTATACAATCCTAATACTCATACTGACACTATACAATACTAATACTGTACTATACTATACCCTGCTTACTATACTATACTATGCTATACATATTATACTATAATATACTTACTATACAATTCTAATACTCATACTGACACTATACAATACTAATACTGTACTATACTATACTCTGCTTACTATACTATACTATGCTATACATATTATACTATAATATACTTACTATACAATCCTAATACTAATACTCATACTGACACTATACAATACTAATACTGTACTATACTATACTATACATACTGCACTATACTATATACAATACTAATACTGACACTATACTATACTGATATTGTACTATACTATACTCTACTTACTATACTATACTTACTATGCTATACATATTATACTATATATACTTACTATACAATCCTAATCCTAATACTGACACTATACTATACAATACTAATACTGTACTATACAATACTATACTTACTATACTATACATACTGTACTATACTATACTTATACAGTACTAATACTAATACTGTACTATACTATACTTACTATACAATCCTAATCCTAATACTGACACTATACTATACAGTACTAATACTGTACTACACTATACTTACACAATCCTAATACTAATACTGACACTATACTATACAATACTGTACTGTACTACACTATACTTACTATACAATCCTAATACTAATACTGACACTATACTATACAATACTAATACTGTATTATACTATACTTATACAATCCTAATCCTAATACTGACACTATACTGTACAATACTGTATTATACTATACTTACTATACTATACTTACTATGCAATCCTAATACTATACTGACACTATACTATACAATACTGTGCTGTACTACACTATACTTACTATACAATCCTAATACTAATACTGACACTATACAATACTGTACTACACTACACTATACTAATACCGGCACTATGCCAACACTGTACTATATTGAAAACGCGATAGAGTGAAGCCACGGATGTGGAGGCACGAAGTGGGGGGGCCGACTGTGAATAAAGGATCCCGCTTCATGGAAATTTATCGCTGTAGAGTCTGGACCTGATGGACCGCGATAAACGAGGGCCGCCTGCCTTCTCCCTCGTGGGCAGCGTTAGAAGACGCACCCAGGCGCTGCCCTGAGGTAGCCCACTCCCGCCTGGCCCTGGAGGTGCTCCGGCCGCCCTCCCCGCCTGGAGCTCTGGTCAGAGCTGTGCTGTCCGGGGGGTCACAGCCCAGACCGCACAGGGGGCGCAGCGCTAGGCGCCAGGTGGAGGAGGTGACCCGGGGGAGCCGCCCCCGAGTTGCAGTGACTCAGCGTCCTTGGGACTCGGTGCACGGTCAGGTCAGCTGGTTAGCTCCCCTGGGGATCCCAGCAGCCTGTCTGGCATGACGGCTGAGCGCACCAGACAAAGCTGACGGTCTGCCCGCTCGGAGCACGCGTCCTCGGTCCGCTGCACCCTCACGACGGGCTCTTCCCCCTTCCAAGGTATTGGACACTTGACGAGGCGTTTTCAAGTGTACTTTTCCATCCCACGGCCTGGGAGGCCTGCAGCCGAGGTGCTTCCATCTGATAGGGTGAGGAACCCGGGAGACAGCGGGCGACAGGGCAGGGGTCCCTCCTGCCCCACCCCTCCGACCGCTCCCTCGGGCCCTGGGGCCGCTCAGCAGGGACAGTGCTGCCCAGGGCGCCCTCAGACACCCCTCCACTGAACCGGAGGTGAGGCTGCAGGTAGGAGCCTACGTGCTCGCATTGAGTCAGACCGTCCTGCTGCCTTTATCACGTCACCTGTGAAATCGTCTAGTCATTATCACCTATAAAAAGTAACATCACTTATTAAAAGTCACCCTGCCCAGGGTCCTCTGAAGTGACGGCTGAACCGCGGCCGTCCTCTGGCCTCCGAGCCCCTCGGCTGTGTGGTTGGGGCCACGCGCCGCCTCTGTCACTTGGGAGGTGTCGTCCTACCTCCTCTGGCCTGTGTAAGGAGCAAGGGATTCCCACCCCGTAGGATCTGCTAGTCCCCTAACGGGGCAGCCGGTCATCACCCAGCCAGGAGCCGGGGGCCCGGGGACCCAGGACCGAGGCTGCAGATGAGAAAGGCCCCCTGGTAACCGAGTCAGCAGGCTGGTCCCATGAACCTCCTTCAGACATCTGGTGAGGGAGTACAGGGAGAGGCGCAAGGTCACGACTCTCCAGAAGCCCCCTCTGCTGTGAGAGGGACGTGAGGATGATCGGAGACGCTGTGACAAAGGTGTCCCAGGCAGGAGTCATGCGCAGGCCCTGCGGGGGCCTTGACCTTGAGCTGCCACACGAAGAAGGAGCGGACACTCCCGGACAGGGTCTGGGACCCGGTGCAGAACCCCGGCCACCAGCAAGGATGAGGCAAGGAGACAGCAAAAATCAGAATGGGCGGGGGGGGGGCGCCGTGTGCTTCCTCGCTGCCTTCCCGTGCGCCCCGGCATTCCCCGCACCCTTCTGGACAGCTTTCCTTTTTTCTGTGTTTTTCAAACACGTTTCTATTGATTTCAGTGAGAGGAAGGGAGAGGGAGAGAGAGAGAGAGAGGTGGATGAGAGAGAACGTCAATTGGCCGCCTCCTCACACCCCCCACAGGGGATGGAGCCCGAAACCTGGACATGTGCCCCGACTGGGCATCAAACCATGACCTCCTGGTGCAGAGCACTACGCTTAACCAGCTGAGCCACAGCAGCCGGGCTCTTTTGTTTTTTCTTATTCTAACTTATCTTTATTGTTGAATGTATTACACGTGTCCTTCCTTTCCCCCCTTGATCCCCTTCTCCCCAATCTCGCCCCCTCCTGCTTCCCCACACTATTGTCTGTGTCTCTTGGTTATGCATATAAGTATTTAAGTTCTTTGGTTTATCTCTTCCCACTCCACCTCCCCACTTCCCTTTGAGGTTCATCAGTCTAACAACCAATTTGTATTTTCTAATCCGTTCATCTTTTTTTACCCAACTCCCTTCCCATCTGGCGACCAACAAAAAGTTCTCTATGAGTCTGTTTCTGTTCTGCTTGCTCATTGTGTTTGTAGATTCGGTTGTTGATAGCTATGTATTAATTGCCGTTTTACTGTTCATATTTTTTTATCTTCTTTTTCAAGAAGACCCTTCAACATTTCATATAATACTGGTTTGGTGGTGATGAACTCCTTTAGCTTTTTCTTGTCTGGGAAACTCTTTATATGTCTATCGATTCTAAATGATGGCTCTGCAGGATAGAGTAATCTTTGTAGGTCCTTGCTTTTCGTCACTCTGAATATTTCTTGTCACTCCCTCCTGACCTGCAAAGTTTCTTTTCAGAAATGTTCTGACAGTCTTATGGGAGCTTCGTTGTAGGTAACTAACCGCTTTTCTCTTGGCTGCTTTTAAACTTCTCTCTTTGTCTTGAACCTTTTGCATTTTGATGATGCTGTGCCTTGGTGTAGACCTCTTTGGGTTCATCTTGTCTGGGACTGTCTGTGTTCCCTAGACTTACTTGTATGTCTGTTTCCTTCACCAAGTTAGGACAGTTTCTGTAATTATTTTCAAATAGATTTTCAATTTCTTGCCCGCTCTCTCCTCCTTCTCGCACCCCCATGATGCAAATGTTGGTACACTTGAAGTTGTCCCAGCAGCTCCTTATACTATCCTCATTTTTTGGGATTCTTTTTTTCTTTTTGCTGTTCTGATTGGATGTTTTTTGTTTCCTTATATTCCAAATCAATGGTTTGCTTCTTGGCCTCTCCTACTCTACTATTGATTCTCTATAAATTATTCTTTATTTTAATGCATCCTTCATTTCTGACTGGTCCTTTTTTATGCTCTTGAGGCCCTCACTACGTTCATTGAGCATCCTTATAAGCAGTGTTTTGAACTCTGCATCTGTTAGGTTGCTTATCTCCATTTCATTTAGTTCTTTTTCTGGAGTTTTGTTCTGTTCTTTCATTTGGGACATGTTTCTTTGTCTCCTCATGTTGGCTGCCTCCCTGTGTTTGTTTCTATGTTTTAGCTAGAGTTGCTATGTCTCCTAGGCATATGTCTCCTACTGTGGTAGGTGCAGGGTCCAGTGGCACAGCCTCCCTGATCACCCAGCTGGGCCCTTGAGGTGCACCCCTCGTGTGGACTGTACATCCTTCTGTTGTAATTGAGTCTTGATTGCTGTTGGCACATCAATGGGAGGGATTTACTCAGGCTGATCGGCTGCCAGGACTGGCTGTGCCCACTGACCACTGGCCTCTGACTCCCTTGGAGGGTCAGCTGTGCAGGGCCCACCACACAGAGCAAGACTTACTCAGCAGGGCTCTGGTACCCACTGAGTCCACTCCTTGAGTGTGTCACTTGTGGAGGAGGTTGGGTGGTGGTGCTTCGTTGTGGTCTGAAGCTGTC